GCACCTTTGAATAGACACTTATTTCAGAAAATTTTCATTTGACCCCCTCAACTTTGCTCGCTAATATCAATTATTCAATTAAAATGTATTATACAGACGTAATATGGATCCGATTTTTTGTGGACAGGTACAACTTTTCCGATCTTTAATTTTTCGAGAAACACTCCTGTACTAAAGAACAGATTAACTAAGTAATTCAAAGGATAAATAATGTATTGCAAGCTCCCACATCCAACGTATTCGCCAGATTTGGTTCCCGGCGACTACTGACTGTTCGCAGAAAAAACGGTGAGAAATTTCGCTGGAATGAAGAGGTTATCGCTGAAACTGAGACCTATTCTGGCGCTGGAATGATTTTCTGGCTCTTAATGGAGATTACGTTGATGGATAAAGCCATAATCGAACAAAAAAACCCGTTTTCTTTTTAAGGCCCGGGACTTTTCAGCCCATGTGTTACAACTTTTGTTTGGTGAAGATTTCAATTTGTTAATACTACTTACTACATAGAATCCAATTGATAAAAGTATTCACTATTATAACTTGTAAAGGTTGAACAATGAATAGAAAAAATATATCAAATCATCTAAAGGAACAATTCGTTCAGGCCAGTCTCAACTCCCTACGCTGTAGGTTAATGGACAGACACCTCTCAGAAAACAACTACTCCCCTGGCTAATACAACGAAGGGCGTTGGATTTTATACGATAGGTATCACTTCACTGAAGTTATTCCTGCATATGCTGTTAGCGATACAACTGTCGAACTCGAACTAGGCTGAAGAGGACAAAAAACAACAGGTTTGTCATCACCATATCTACCTGTGAACGAGGTATCCAACCGCATATCCGAAATTTGCTCAATTTCTCGTATAAGGAAAAAACTTTTCACATATAGTCAGTGGGTATACTGAAGACTGGCTGTAGACCAAGTCATCTAAAGGAATAATTCGTTCAGGCCAGTCTCAACTCCTCACACTGTAGGTTAATGGACTGTCACCTATCAGATAGGTGTCAAGTGTTCAACTATCAGCTGGCATGAGCGAAATGTTCCATTAGATGATTTTGTTTACAGCCAGTCTTCAAGTATGCCCACTGACTAATATGTGAAAAAATATATCCTTCAGAAAGTGTATCTGCTTATCATGCTTATATGCCAAAACCATATTTAATTTTTACATGCGATAACCGCCCGAGATACTACATCAGAAATGTTAAGAAGGGGTGAAATATTTAATCGATTACGCTAAAGTATTTGAAGAAATTGAATATTTTCCCCAAACGATAATCACAAAAAAATCAACAGTAGTTTAGATATTCAACTCTTGTAAGAAAAACACGGAACAAGAAACAAGTACAACTATCTAGCTCTGTTATGCCAGCGACGCAAAGTACGGAAATGCCACTATTAGGTACTTTTTAGGTGCTTTTTAGGTATCGAAGTCAAAAATTAGGTGCTCTGTAACTTACATCGCAACTCAATACTCAAAGCTGCGTTGCTAGCATTATGTAATGATAGCGGGGATTAACAATATACAATAAAGTCTTGAAATTCTCGCAAACTCATACATAAACAATATAAATAAAATGCTAATTGATTGCTCACTAGATATTCATAGACAACCTAAATTCTATAATGTCTATGTGGCTCATGGACCTGAAAACCACCATGCCTGATGTACTGGGTTTTTATAGTACGTTTCTCAATAAATAATGACAAGAAAATAAAGTGCTAATTGGGTGCTCATTAGATATTTATAGTAAACCTAGATGGATCTGAAACCACCATGACTGATGTACTGAGTTCTTATAGTACGTTCCTCAGTAAATAAGGACAAGAGAATAAAGTGCTGTACAAACTCAGTACATACATCATGATGGTTTTCAGGTCCATGAGCCCCATAGGCATTATAGAATCTAGTTTTACTATGAATATCTAGTGAGCACTTAATTAGCACTTTATTTTGATTGTCTATGTATTAGTTTACTTTATTGTATTTTGTTAATTTTATTTCTCAAATCAGGTATCTCGAATTTTTTTCCGCGTATTCACGGTCGTTTTCATCTTGATTTCTTGCAAGCACCTAATTAGCACTTTATTACCACGCTTAGTTTATATCTGATTGAGCATTCGTCCTCGTTTTCGAGAAACCTGATTCTTGTATATTAATTAGAAAATTTTACGATCCTCACCGTTTGGCACTTAATTAGCACCTAATAGTGTTTCCTCAACATTCATTATTTTATTATTATTTTCATTGCGTTGCTAGCATTACATAATGCTAGTTGAGTATTGAGTATTGAGTATTGAGTTGCAGTGTAAGTTACAGAGTACCTAATTTTTGACTTTGGTACCTAAAAAGTACCTAATTGTGGCATTTTCTGAATGCGATTTCCGTACTTTGCGTCGCCGGTGTAACAGAGCTCAACTATCTTCTCTTCCTTCAACATCGGCTTCTGCTCACTTGTATCGGGTATACTATAAAATTCATATAATCAATTTTTGTTTGATGAATGATTTTTTTTCTGATAGATGGAAGACTGCTGTGGTGCGGGTAATGCCTTAAAGGTCTGAACCAACTGTATGAGTGTACTCCCAACCCTTTCAAAAATTTGAGAGGAAGCAATTGAGGTTCAACTTGAAGCTCATATCAATAATTACTGTTTCCTACCCGAAAGGGATATAGCTGTACCACAGCTCTACTTCATATTGTCGATGACATAATCAGGTGGAGGAAGCACTGTTGGTGCTTTTGGACTTCAGCCGTGCATTTGACACTTTCAATTATCAACTAATTTTGGCTATTNGTGGTTCAAGCCCCAGTCTGAACGATCAATTTTCACTTGCTATCGTCCAACCCGTGTTAGGAATCACACGTTAAAAGGTAAGACCTCGTTAATCCTCAGCTCGTACAAGTTTCAACTTCTGAGGGTTGTCGTTCGTAGGGGTGCGACAGCTGGTTAATGGAAAAACAGATTTTAAACAGTCACATGTGAAACTATGCAGACTTAATATAATAACATTTAGATGATTCTGGCTATATGAATAATCATATAATCCTGTCCTTCGAACTGGATTCTTCAAATACTTTTTCAATTGATTTTTGAATTTGAGAGCAGTTTCAGTTTATTTTTTTAGGAATTGTATTATATGTTATAATTCCATCATGGTAAATCGTATTTCTGTCCAAAATTAGAATTGAAATTACTGATAATAATTTTGTTTGACTAGTGGAGCAATGGTGTACTTCGAATTTTCGGAAGTGTCCCCCATTTTTTGTATTGAGATGCAGTAACGGACTAGTATATATGTCATGAAAGTTTGCATCGCGTGTGCATATGAGTGCAAACACTCAGATCCCGGTTTGTAAAATTGTCGGCCTAAGGGCAGAAACATCTGCCTTTCACTCTAGGTACATAACTATTACGTTCAAAATTATCTGCACAGCAAATTTTGTTATCAATTTTAATAATTTGAACTGAGGGAAAACGTTTCTTTTATATTATTTTACTGACCTTGTTTAAGAATACTTGCTGAGAATAAATACTCCACAATTTGACGAGTCAACTAACTTCCTAGTACGATTTTTTATTAATGCAAATCTTATTGAAATGAATATATATGAAAAATATTCACGTTCGTTGAGTTTTCCTTCTCTTTCGTGACACCGAGGTATGTAGTTATTGTAATAGTTGCATGTTTGCCTTGTTTACTTAGTCGAGGAGTACGGTTGTTGATTATTGTTAGTATTGAAAGTGCAAGTGATATTTGGTGTGACATTTGTATTACCTGGAATTAGAAAAAGTGTAATCACGTGAAAATTTTCGAGTAATGTGATGGACTTCAAATTAGTGACTTCAACCTTTCAAAGTTTAACTCAGAATATGCAGGTATACATTAAAATTATCTGAATTTGGGCGATGTTTTCAATCAGTGAGATGCTCATTATATTCATTTGGATACTGGTTTTTGAATTATCAATCCCTTTCTTTTAGAGATATATAATTTTGATTTGAAACTCCAATTATTGCATTTCTTCCGAATATTTATTATTGTGCAATTGAAAAATTTTCTTAAAAGATATTTATCCTTTTGTCGAATGAAACAAAATTGAAACTTTATTCAATGCTGCAGACTTTGAAAGGACTCTTCAAGCAATAATATTGGTATTTGCATTAGTCTTTTGTTGAAGGAGTGCCATTTTTTCAGAATCATTTTTGGATATAAATGGTTTGTCTTCTGTAATATATCTCATTCCTCTAGGTATGTCAGTCTCTTTTATTTTGTTGCAAAAATTTTAAAAAACTCACTTAAAAACTTCCGCCTCACTTTTAAATAGCTATATTTGTTTTGATATAGGCCAAAAGAATGAAGAGTTCGGAAGTCATATGCGATAGTCTACAAGAATACATATATAGGATGTTTTTATGAAATTTCAGTTGAGGTTCATATTCATATTTCATAGCTTGATCACCAGGTGATTTTAAAGTTTACTCCATTATCCTTGTTTCTGTTAGCTGTTCTCTCCTTACATATACACGATGTTCATTTCTTCTCACATTAAGGGTTCCTGTGGTTTTACCTATATAACTTTTTATACAGGTACAAGGTACATTGTAAATACATTTTTCCGTTTTTTTTTCAACCGTATTTTCGGGTTTAGGGTCAATGTTTTTTGATAGTTCTAAAAGTTGTCCTTGCATCATATCTTCAACCGATGCATCTCAATTTCTCAAACAAACCGGAAAAATAAGGTGGATATTACTTATGATGGCACTGTTTGCAACCTTTGGTGTAGTAATGAATATACTGAAGTTTTTTCCCAATACCAAATCGTTATTTTCAACACTTCGACACGTGTTTCGATCACCAAGTGATCATATCCAAAGAGGAAGATTAAAACTAGAAATCAACGCGAAGCTAACCCTATTTATGCTATATGATATCCAACATTTCTATTGTTAGTATCCACAATCGTCTTCGGGTGGTTTCGGACAGAGATCTGAATATTTATAGGTCATTCGATCGATTTCACATATCCCCTCTTCCCTCTCTCCGCTTCATCGGTTTTAACGGGAACTGACCGTTTGGCGGGAGTTGGTCGTGTTCCGCTTGATTAGAGGTTTCCATGTGTTGCGTGTCTCTACGTTTGCTTGGCTAAATGCGTTGTTGGACAACATATGTGCGGCTTCTTTGAATTTTCTCCCTACGTTATTCGGGTTATGAATCGGGTATAGCAGTCAGAGGCAGAAATATTGTAAAACTCTTTTTTCTGTTCAAGCTTTCGAGGCGTTTATTGTCTCTTCATCGGGAACTCTACAATAATTATTGAATAAACAAAGGGTATGGACAACGTGTTCATACTTACGAAAGTGAGGTTAAAATTAAGTTAACAAATATGTAATAAAGAGGATCCTCATATTTGTATGTCACGATTAAAATTGGTTAAAAACATGTAACATTTCGTAAGAATTTTGCGATAATATGAGATGATTGCAAGAATAATGTGAAATTATGAATTTGGAAATTGAACTCAACAGGTTGTCAAACATGATTGACATAAAACATTAAGTTTGACAAAAAGTGTTTGACAGAATTTCTTGTTCTGACTGATGCATTGCTGCCAATGAGATTTCACAGAACTGTAAAATGATAAATCACAGAGAGTGAAGGTAAGGAGTTAAATGACAGTTTAACGAGGCTCTGTTGTTTTGGCGTGTGATTCTTCAATGTGTACAGGGTGTCTCATCGTTTAAGAAAAACAAAAACATGTACGGGGTGTCATGTTTTTTCTTCAATCCGATTTTCGTTCATTATTAATATTATAGCGTTATTTTTGTAATTCCACCGCGCTCTTATCTATCAAATGAATCTACTCGATGCTCATTCCATCCTTCTATGCGTCGGTCACGTCGCACACGTCTCTTTCCCACTCGCTACCACGAAAAGTGGAGGAGTGGGGGTGGTCCATAGTGGCGCGACTCCTACTACCACGATTTTATACTGTTGTCCGTCACAGATAGATCTCTAATTACGCTTCCCAAGATAATACCACAGAGCCTACCAGGTGACATTTGCCATACCAGGCTGCCAAGTTACATTTGCCATAATGTGATTTCGAATATTCACTGCATTTTAGACTCTCTAAATATAATTTCGCTACGTTGGGTATTTTTAGTTTACAAGCATTGCAGACCTGTTGCTTTCAATGAAAATATTCATTAGAAGGTTTTTTTATACCTCTCAACTAACCATGTGACTTCCTGCCCCAGATACTGTGACAACCATCCCCGGCGCGGGGATAAAAGTCACACTTTTTCTTTTCCATAAGAATTGTTTTAGTCTCCCTATGGATGATGTTGGAGAAAAAAAAAGGAAATCTGTTTTCAAAAAAGTATAAAAATACTATTGATGTAAAAATATCATTGATAATTTATAAAAAAAAGGACACCAAAAATGCAAAATACAGAAAATGTGACTTCCAGCCCCGATCTCCCCTACTTCGCGAACATTAAATTGCATTTATATTACATGACCAAGGCGATAATTAATCAATGCCATTAACTTCATGGCATTGGTCTCAAAATACAAACAATGTATTTTTTGTGGATGTATGAAATCACACCAGGTTGTTGAATTTTAATTCGAATAATAAGTGTTTACTCTGTTGACATTCATGAAGACAATACAATTTTTATTTCTTTCTGAATAACAACTCGAAAATCAATTAAAATTCAGAAATGCTTAATCGGTTTTTGACAGGACACATTATTTCCGGTATTGGCGACTGATTTCAATGCTTTTCATCATCATGCATATACGAGTATCTCCTATACTCTTCAGTTAGTAATTTAGGTAGAACTTCTGATGCACTGTTTGGAACCTTTGGTGTAGTAATAAGAAAAGCAGAAATAATAATCGTATAAATATATTTTACTCAAAGATACATCAATTCACAATGGAACTTAACGAATGAACCATCACCCGTTTTCCAAACTGGACATAAACAATTAAATGAATAACATTGCTCTCTTCTGGCTCAATCGAGTTTACTGATTATGACTGACTAATTCCTATCCAATCTCTCGGGCCCCGCGTTTTTTCGGGTATCGCGTTTTTTTCCACCCATATCGATAGTGGTTTCTTATACGTGTTTCAATCACTAAGTATAACCATCCTCAAGAGGAATAATGAAATTTAATCTTCCACTTGAAGATGATCACTTAGCGATTGAAACAAGTGTCGAGGTGGTGAAGATAACGGTTTGGTGTTGGGATAGAACTGTAGTAATATTAATTGAGGTGGTGATATCTCAGTCTAAACTACTGATAAAATCTAGGGATATTTCTTGATCTCAGCAAAAATGGATTCTGTATTGTTGCATATTTCGATTAATCGAATTTAGTAAGAATTTTTATATTCATTCTTGTTTACTTTCTTTAAATCAGTTAGTTTTTGTTTTCAGATATGGCCTTTTTTGTTTGTCTATTTATTGGCGAAGAATAATATTCATGCCGCATATTAAACACGTCTAATAATTTTCATTTTGTTTCAACTTTCGATGGAAATTATACGTATGCAATTAAATAGTATTTAAATAATAAAATAAAGGCAACATTTATCGCGTGGTGAAATGTTACGGGTTGTGAGGATGCTTCAAGCAGGAATGCGTCAGATGGACGTTGCGAACGAGATAGGTACCACCAGTGGCGGATCCAGAGGGGGGCACAGCGGCACTCCCCCCCTAGAGGATTGAAAGTACACTAGATATAATTTGGTGACATTTTGGGACAATTCAGGACATCAGCTCAGGCCATTTCATTCATTACAAACCCAGGTACACGGAAAACATTAATTGGCTAGGTAAAACTCGGGTACTTGAAATTCAGGTACTCCAAATTGTAGAATATGAATATATTTCAGCTCACCCAATTTTACAAGAGCTTGGTAAAATTGGCCTTGATTTGGCTATTTGCCGAGGACAAGCTTTTGATGAATCCTCTAATTCGAGTGGAATATTTAAGGGTGTGCACGCCCGCATTTCTCAGATTAAGCCTTCTGCAATCTACAGCCACTGTGCGAACCATACGCTAAAAATAAGCAAAGCTTGTTCTGTTGCTGGCATCAAAAATGCAATGGAAGTCATATCTTCCCTGGCAAATTTTTTCCGTAACTCCGCTGCAAGATTCAAAGCTTTGGACGAAGAGATGCGGGAAAATCATGACGCCAAACAAAAGTCATAGCATTGTTATGACCTAGATATTCCAGGATGAACAACTCCAATATTGTGAAGGCTATGGCGCATCTCCCGTTACGAAAATATCATCTATAGAAACGACAGAAGCCTGAATCCATGAATATACGCGGCTACCCAAGGCGGCCCGTTGCAAAGCCAAACTTTGACATAGACCGCCGAACAAGATTCGTCCTCTGACTTTTATTGCAGCTTCCTCAGCGAGGCAACTAGATTAAACCAGAAACCAAAGACAAAACATTTGTGATCCAACACCAAACAGCCCAGTTTCCAAAGCTCAAAAACGAAGAACCATTGATGAGATTTTAATTCTCACCATTGGTTCTTTTTTTTGAGCTTTTGTTTCAACTTACTCCAAGATTGTGAATGATTTTATCGAACATTTCAAATCTACATCGAAGTGTACTCACAAATACGGGGCACTTCTCGGTAAGTTGCTTGAAAACTCTAAATAATAATAATGATTTTATGTGCGAAAAATTACATGTAAAGACATTTTTATCATTTACAGAAATGCAAATGAAACACCCTAGTCGGTCGGTAGCCAGACGGTTCGACGTGGGTGCTTTGTTCACTCACTCGAATTGACTGCCGTGTTGGTCGGTGGTTCAAGTCCCAGTCTAAACGATCGATTTC